ACGATTGCACATGCCGGCAGATTTTTATATTCGACGCCGGCGGATACGTTCCGAATGTTTCTCCCTAAGCGTTAAAAAAAAAATGAAACTTTTAAGACCCTCGACGAAGGAAAAAATATAAGTGAACGAATTTTACGACTCCCCTACCCTCCTTCATCGAGTTGGATATGCATTCATATACAGGGTGTTCGGTAACTGTTGATAAAAAATTTAGGGGGTGATTCTATGGGTCAGAATAAGACGAAAATCAAGAATAAAAAATTGCATTTGAGGTTTAGTATTTTACTTATCAACAATTAAAGATATCCCTGTAGTCGAACAAACATACCTACACTATAGAATATAGAGCACATCGTACAAAGCATATAAAAAAAAAAAGCTGTGATATTCGACGCCGTAAACGACCTGCGACACTTTATAAGAAAAATCGTAGATTAAGCATTAAACCTGCCTACTCGCAGAAATCCATGAGAGTATATCAAAGTCTACTCTATGGAATTTTCGAATGGAGAAGATTAAATGTCACCACCAGTCCATGAGTCTGCTCTAATAAGTAATTACCAAATGCATACACTAGAACTGTCACACACGATACGCACAATACGCACAAATCACTGAAAAACAATCACTATACACTACAGTATTCAGACATACGTGTTAGCGGCATCGGTTCCTTCCTAAAAGAACGCGGCATATCAAAGACGACTGGCAAATTTAAAAAGGCCAAAATCAGATCACAAGAGATGACAAGGAGTCATTCGCCCTATATTCATTAGTGTAGGAAGGTTTGCTCGATCACAGGGATATCTTCAATTGTTTGTAACTAAAAAACGAAGCTTCAAACAAACTTTTTTATTCTTGATTTTCGTTTTATCCTGACTTATAACTGTTCTACCAACAGTTGCCGAACACTCTGTATGCAGCATTCGCGACAGAAGTCTGTGAACTTTCGTATTGTGTTATAGTTTCTGATATTTAGCCTCAGAATAGTTGGAAACATTTTGGCGATAGCGCCGCAAGTTGTCAAACGTTGCGATTCTGAATGTACACACTTCAATTGACAGGTTGCGGCACAATATTTCATCATATCGATAAAAAACTAATGAGTCGTGTACGGAAAAACAACTATCCATGGTATACGAGTTACATTACGGTGTAAAGTTCGCTTTTACTTGGGAAATGAAAAAATTCGTCCAAAAAATTCATATCCCGTTCTGTGACTCAATGCGTGCATATACAGGCAATAACCTCGAAGTTGAAACGACAGTGTCGGATGTACATTACATGCGTACGTAGCCGCGCAAGCAATTACCATTTCGCGAAGGATTTTCGCTTACCTTGCTGTCCGCAATCGACGAACTTTTCACTCTGCTATTTATTATTCGGCAATCAACGGTTTACGTAGAGGTTGTGAGAAGACGCGCGATCTGAAAGGCCGTGATGACGAGTACCGAACGCTTCGTTATTGCCGACGAGAAGCCTGGCGCCGTCTGCGAGGCATATCTATCACAAACAGCTTCGTCTGACATTCAATACGTGATCGTTACTCTGCAGGTTGTTAATAATTCTAAAAATACGGGGGGCACCAGCTTCGCGCCCGTTTCACAAGCTATATCCACGATGCAAGCGCAGCTGCACAGGAATCATAAACGTGATGGATAGGAAGTACGTTGGATAGACACAAATGACGGCTGGCCTCGTTTGATCGATAGCGCCATCTTTTTTTCGTAATTGTACCCTCCAAGGATAAAAAGCACGAAGAATTGTTGCCACATCGATATTATAGTTTATCACACAAAAAGTTTTTTCGTACTTCATTAAGACCATTTGTAAAATATTTATATGTTTCTTCCTTTCAGCATGTTGATATGGGGTCTAAGTATAATTTTTGTAAAAAAATCTGTTTTCCATTAACTTCATATTGTAGATACATGTCTTCGATAACGGCATTTGATTGGTTCTGTAGATATGGAATGTCCACCAATAGGAATAGAAGTTCGATTACACCTATTTCCCGCTTCTTCTAAATCTTTCAACTATCCACAAATCATTCTTGATCAAAGTAGTATCGACTCTGTTCCCTTGATGACTGCTCACTTCGTCATTACATGAAAGACTTACCGGACGAATGATAGAAGTCATTTGTTAAGGTTTCTACCCTCATTTATAAAATCTGCTCCGTCATTGTGATTCTTTTGATCCATTTTAAATTATTTCGCAGAATGCACGTAATGGTACTGACTTTTGATTAATAATTCAACTGTAACCTTGTATTGATTAGGTAATCAAGTAAAAGTAAAACGATCTTGAATTTTACAATGATCCATAAAATTTGATTTCTCTTCGAGACTGAAATGGTTTTATTTCGTTTATTTACCAAACAAATACTTAATAAAACCGGATTCATTCACACTCGTGCACATAATGTACATTTGACGTTAAATGACAATGTACCGTATTGAGTACTTACTCATACAAGGAAGGTTCCACGCGAGAAAATATCATGACACTGAAGTCATGCATATAGGAGCGATGTCATGAATGTAACTTATAAGTATTTAACCCATTTATCGTTACCACGAAAATAACACACATATATATAAAATACATAATACGTAATTTTAATTATCGGTTTCTAATTAATTGGATCGGTAACTAAAATAACATATCGTGATAAAAATCTCAAGCAAATTAATACACGCTAAAATAATTAAAAACAGAAAACATGTGTAATGTTTACAGTATTATGACGCCTTATATGTGTATGTATATAAAATGCACGAATGAAACAAAGTTCGCAGTAGTTCTTGTGTACAATTTTTTATGGTTATTTATAGATTTGGAAATATAGCATTTTACTACTAATGGAGATTTTTTGTTAAACAACATGATTTACAACAAAAGCATGTCTCATTTAATAATGAGTCAATAATCTGTAGCATCAGTAAGAAATCGGTATGGTACACTTTAAATATTACGTTCTTTATTTTTGTTCTGACAGAGCTGGAGCAAATATCCTCATTAAAATTCATATTATCTCTAGTCGTTAAATATACACACGTTATTAGAGGTTGAAAAAATCGGTCACACACAAATATACTATCGCTAAGAAAATTTCTTACGCCAATATTTTTTTTCTATTTTCCTCTTTTTTTAAGAAAAACAAATAAAAATCTAGAACTCGTAATTCATCGTAACTAATCTAGAATTAGTCAATAAAAAAAAAGAACTTAAGTTGCTAAATGAAACATGCGGTATAGGCGGTGCGCAGTCTTTAGTAAATAAAAAAGAAAAGTAATCGTGCTTGTAACTGAAGTACCATCGTCTGAATATAGGGGATGCGTGCAGGATGAACAGGAAGCCGTGAGTATAAAGGTGCGTTTGTTTCCGTCCGAGATAAATAATTATTTCTATGATAACATATGATTCTCGTATTCGATGCGGAAGTTCCTTTATCATCCTGGTCATTTCCTGCACAATATGCATGCACCCCGAAATATAGGACTCTCTATATAATTGTATCTTATAAACCAGCCAGAACAAAAACAAACTATTTTAACGGCAAATAACATATAGACTACATAAAGCACAATTACAGTATATTTCACAAATTGTTTAAACATTCATATATAATTATACGAATCTTCGCATATGACGAAAAGGCGATTTGATCAATTAGGGGAAGATTATTTCGTAAAAACAATGTATTTTTAAGGGCAGGAAAACATTAGGAGATTGAAGGGCTTTGCGAAAATGGCTTCATCTGGCAGACTGCCATGCCAGTTTGGATTGCTGGCTTAGAAATTGCGAGGCCTATCTCTCTTTGCTGCGAGAGGTACTTTCCTAATTCTTTTTTTTTTTTTGCTTTATTTCACGTTCTTCTCATCTTTCGTATTCTTTTTTCATTCAAATATTTTTTATCTGCATTTCCCGCTACGATCGATGCATAATTTCGGAATGTTGACAATATTCTAATTTTACCTTATCAAGGTGCAATAAATAAATGATATCTCTTTTACACTGAGATATACATGGTTGACTGACTGTTAGTTTTATCGCGAACAGGTGAAGGAGGGTGCAATTACAACACCTGCTGATAACCACAAGCAGTAAGACAACCATTTTGCATTAGTTTTGTTTTTTCCTTTACTTTGTTTTTCTCGACGTATACCACTGAAAACTTAAAAAAATAGAAACAAACTTTTGTAACTAGAAACAGTAAGTCATTGCACCGTCAGTTACCACTCACTGCATTTTTCATGTCAACTGGTGGGCCGATGTGACATTTGTAATGTAGTGGACAGAGCAACATTCTCTCATCTATTGATCACATTTTTATCATCGTATTTATATAATGTAATGTACAATATGCAGCTACATTATGATAATCAGTATGTCCAACGCATTCAAACTGACAACACCGTGGGTACTTCACTTTTTTCTTAATTTTTTTTTTTTTTTTTTTTTTTTTTTTTTTTTTTTTTTTTTTTTTTTTTTTTTTTTTTTTTTTTTTTTTTTTTTTTTTTTTTTTTTTTTTTTTTTTTTTTTTTTTTTTTTTTTTTTTTTTTTTTTTTTTTTTGTTTCAAAGATATTCAAATTATTAATTAATCAATGTGTATTGTATGTTTCAGAGTTAGGTACTTTAATACAATTACTTCCAAGTTTTCCACTTTTCTCGTGGTATCTCTGTGTAAAAAGTGTAACTATAATGCTAATATAATAATAATTATAATAATAAGTTGCACAAGGCAATAGTCTTGTGTGGCCGTTCGAATGTGTGCTTCCGGCCGTTTCCCCACTCCCCTCCCCCCAAAAAACTTCCTGGCACAATGACAACTTTCGATAATCTCCACCCTCCACTTCAAGATCGAAAAGATCTCGCGGTTTGCACTTATTGTTACCTCTTTGTATATTATTACTCATTCATAGGGGGGATAGGTGTGCAGCTGATTTTTATGATGTTAATATAGCAACTGAATGTTGACAGAATAACGTTCCAATTAGCGATTGGCACTTTTGAGCTGATTGGAGAGCCAATCAAGGCCTTCGTAAAGTCCATCTCCACTTGTGGCACACGTTGCCTGAATGTACCAATTACGATTGCGGAGAGAGTGCAGCCCCAACTTGTCGGTAATCTCCGCTGCATTCATTGCATTTGGGAGATCCTAGAATATTCATTATTTACTTCACATAGTCGTAAATTTATACATTGTTTCTTTAATCGATTTCTTCTTAATTTAATTGTAATTGTTTCTTTTGGCATATATCCATACCAAATAGATACTTATTGTTTACATAACAAATATCATATACTCTCAAAATGTGTATTAATATACTGTATTAAAAGACTCTAAATATATCTCAGAAACTATACTTACTTGTTTATTAGCAAATATAAGAAGTACTGCATCTCTAAGTTCATCTTCTGCTAACATTCTCATCAATTCTTCACGCGCTTCACCAATACGTTCCCTATCATTACTGTCAACGACAAATATCAGTCCCTGAAAGTAAGGTTAATCTATGAAAATAATTATCAGAAACTGTTCTAACGATTCAAGTGACATATAACATAAGTCACATATTGAGCATTTAAATTAATTCCATACTTGTGTATTTTGAAAGTAATGTCGCCACAGAGGTCTGATTTTGTCTTGACCACCCACGTCCCATACAGTAAAACTTATATTCTTGTATTCAACTGTTTCTACATTGAAGCCTAAAATTTATAATGTGTGATCAGTAATGTGTATTGTTCCAATTATACTTCCCTCCTATATATGCATATACATTGAAATGTGAAATGTATCTTAAATTTTAGAATTCGAAATTATAAAAAAAATCTATATTTACCTATAGTAGGAATTGTTGTAACAATTTCCCCTAATTTTAATTTGTACAGAATTGTGGTTTTACCAGCTGCATCAAGGCCTACCATTAAAATCCTCATTTCTTTTTTGCCAAAAAGGCCTTTGAATAATGTTGCAAACATATTCCCCATGGTTAATGTTGTTTATGTAAATACCTGAAACAACAAAACAACTAAGATTGAATCGTCATACTCAAAGAAATAAAGTAAAAGTAAGAATTTTGAAAAATTTGATTGAAACAAATGAGATTTTTATCTGAGATATATCACATGGTTTAAAACACATCAATGATTTAA